GGTCTAACAGCAACACTTGCAAACTGTTGCAATGAAACAGAAAGAAGGAATACTTACCAAACATTTTACAAAGGAAGAATTGCCCTGATATAGAGACCAGATAGATATACACCAAAGTTACAAAAGAAATTTCTGATGAATATTGACATGAAAATTCTCAATAAAGCATTTGAGAGGATATGGAAAAAAGGCACCCTTATCCATTGCTGGTGGGAATGCAAATTAATGCAGCCATTATGGAAATCATTTTGGAGGTTGCTCAAAAAATTAAGTGGAAGAACTACCACATAACTTAGCTTTTTTACTGCCACAGAGATATTTGTATACACATGTTTATTGCTGCTCTATTTACTATAGCAAGGAAATGAAACCAACATAGTTTTCCATCAACAAATGCATAGATAATGAAAATCTGTGTGTGTATGTATGTATATATATATATATGTAAATATATATAATGTAATGCTACTGAACTCTATAGAAAAATGAAATCAGAGGTTTCAGGAAAATGAATGAAGTCAGAATGCATAATTAAGCAAGGTCATCCAACCTCAGAAAAATGCATATTCTCCCGCATGTACAAATCCTATAATATAATGTATACATAGACATAATGTGACATGTGAAAGGGAGAATGAGAAAATATTAAGTGAAAGGAAAGACAAAATGACTCGAGTTGTGAAAGAAGAGTTAAAGTTAGTTGTCTTAGTGGTTTTAACTCTGTCATGGATAATTTAAATTTTTATTTGTGGAAAAGTGCCTAAAAAAGTAACTGATAGTAAATATGTAAAACCTAAAGTAAAGACCCACAGGTTCAGAATGGCAATTCAAACTGCATAGAAAGTCATTGCAATGTATAGATTTTGGGTCTGAAAGAGAGCATGTTTGAGTGGCTGTGTTAATGTAGCCATATGATATTTCTTGTTTGCAAGATCTTTAAAATATTCTCAACACAATACTAACAGACAAAATTCATGAATACATTAAAAAAGATCGTATCTCATAACAAGGTTACTTTCACTCCAGAGACGCAAACTTGATTCAACATATACCAATCAAAAAATTATATAAGCCATATAGTGAGACTTCAGCACATACATTTTACCATTTTCTTGATAAATGCAGAAAAGATGTTTTACAAGGTTCAACCTGTCAGCATAAGAAAATCTGAAGAACTTAGAATTTTAAAGAAACATAGCAAAAGCTATAAATGACCAACCAATGGCCAACATTAAACTAAGTGCAGAAAATTGAGAGCATTTCCTCTAAAATATGAGGAAAAGATACAGGTGCCTACTCTCTCTACTCTTATTCAGTAGTGAACTCAAAATCATAGTTAAAGGAATAATACAAGACACAAAAAAGGTTAGAAATACAATTAAGAATGGAAGAAAACAAACTACTGCAGATGTGACACTGCTAAAATGATTCCTCAAACTTTACAAGAAAGCATTTAGATCTGAAGCATGCTTCTCTATGGATGTAGGGTATAAAATCAACACACAAAGATCAGCAAATAAAAAAATAAGTTAAGAAATCTGTCCTAATGACAATAATTTCAACAAGAGTGTGTAAGAATAAAATCAACCAACGCAGTGAATGACCTCCGAGATGGATAACTTTAAACACTGAATAAAGTAATCTGACAAGTTTATAAATGTGAAATCATCAACCATGCTCCTAGACTAGCAAAATTAATACCAGAGCCATGCTGTTGTGGAATACATAACTCACACATTTAATTACCAATATTGGGGGAAGGCAAGACAAATTTTGAGTTTTATGTCAGTTGGTCTATAGAGTTCAAAGTCAGCTGACATAGTTAAATCCTGTATCAGAACACATACACACACACACACACACACACACAAACACTTTTGTATTACCCAAATAATCTACAACTCAATACAATACTCATTCTTCAATGTCATTTTTCAATGAACAAGAAATATCAATCAATCTTAAAACTCATATGGAAAAAAGGCCACTAATAGTCAAAGTATCCTGAGGTACTATAGTGCCTGACCTCAAATTATACCACACAGCCATAGCTGGCACAAAAAAATACATATTTAAACAAATAGGACAAAAACAAAGAACCAGAAATAAAGGCATATGTGAGTCGACCAGTTGTCCCTTTCTTATTTATATTTTTATATGGCAATGGGTACCTATTTGTTTAAAAAGGATCAAGAATGCACCCTGGAGGAAAGATAGTCTGTTCCACACATGATGCTTGCAACACTGGATATCCATCTTCAGGAAAATGTTAATTAGATTCCCATCTTTCATCTACCAAAAATCAGTCCAAAATTGATCAACGATTTAATTTAAAACCTGAAGCAATAAACCACATAGAAGAAGGCAGTTTACAGTATCAGCATAAGCAAAAACTTTCTGGATCAGACTCTAGCAACACAGGAAATAACCCAAAGAATTGACAGATGAAATTTCATGACACTAAAAACAACACAGGAAATGACCCAAAGAATTGACAGATGAGATTTCATGACACTTTGTTCCACTCCTTCCATACAACAAAGGAGACTATCAGCAAAGTGAAAAAACCTACAGAATGGAGAAAAATTTCTTTGTCATGTATACATCAGATAAGATATTAATATCTAGAGCATATAAAGAGCTGTAAAATTTAAACAACATAACCCTCTTGGAAAAGAAATAAACAGGCTAATGAATTGAAAAGATAGTTCTCAAAAGAATAACCATAAACAACTAACAAATATTTTTAAAGTGTGCATAGCCAGGGAGATGGCTTAGCAGGTAAGGGCACTTGACACAAAGCCTGATTACTTGAACTTGATTCACAGAAGGCATTTGGAGAACTAACTTCCATAAGTCATCCCTCCTCTCTTATACATATGTATTATTGCACACATGTGCAAACACACACACACACTCTCTCTCTCTCTTAAAAATTGTGCAAATGCCTTAGCTCTAAGGGAAATTAAATTACATTGAGGTTTAATTGAAAATTAAAACTACATTGAGATTTCATCTTACTCCAGTCAAAAGGGCTATTATGAAGAAAACAAGTACAACAGATGTCTATTAGTAGATGAATGGATAATGGAAATGTGATACATACACACAACGGAATTTACTTAGCCTCAGTAAAAAGGAAAAAAGGGAAATGTGCATTTAAATTGATGGGTCTGGAAATTATTATTTTAAATACTATTAACCAAGAACCAAGGAAGGAAAATGACAAGTACTGCATGTTCTATTTCATGTAAGTATCCTATTTTTAATTTTTATTCATATGGGTGCCATGAAACTAGAAACTGCATCAGATAGGAAGAGGAAGGTGGCAGAATACATGTGACATGTAAGTAGAAATGTACTAAGGCAGAGGGATACAAGTTGGGGAACAGGAAATTGTAGAGAGAATCAGGGAAGGAGAAACCACTGAAGTAAAGTTATGTATAAAAATGGCTCAACAAAATCAATTACTTTGTATACTAATTATAAAGTTGAGTACTCTAGAAAAGTCCTAAAAATAGCAACCAGGTTCCTGTAGACCCTAGGATCAACATACATAAATTGATAACATGTCTGCATTCAAACAATTCACATATGGATAACAAGATTAAGATAAGCATGCGATAGGGATTGAAATCACTGAGAAACAGACCAAGCAAGTAAGCAAAGGGAAGCAAAGGGTCTGTAGTCTGAGAATCAGGAAATGCTGATTAGAAGAATTCAAAAAAGAAAAAAAAAACGCACCTTTTTTGGTTTTTTGTATGTTTGGTTTTTTTGTTGTTGTTGTTTTGTTTTAAAGTTACAACACAGAAGATCCCCCATGAAGCAGTTTGAAATAGTGTAATGTTATTCTTATCAAAGTCACAGCAAGGTATTTTATAGACATGGGCCATCTTATAATTAAATGTCTAAATTTAGGGACTCAAATAGCTAAATAACCTTGACAAAGTAGAATGTAGAGAAATTACACAAGATTAAATAAAACTTGATAGCATTGATTTTGGTGGAAAATGAAGTCAATGGAACCAAATAGAGAACTTACACACACATGAATATGCTCAACTAATGTTTGACAAATATACAATTAAATAAAATAAATTAGCATAGCATTTGTGTCATAAAAGCTGTACTTGGAGGATGGATGATATTTAGTAAGGAGAGAGAATGGAGAAAAAGGGGAGACACCCAGGGTCAGCCAGCCAGATATGTAGTAGGACATACAGAATGAAAGAAAGGTAAAAAGTCCTGGAGCAAAATGTAGAAGAAGAGGTTAATTTAAGTTACAAGAGCTAGTGGGACATGCCTAAACTAAGGCCAAGTATTCATAACTAATAATGTCTCCATGTCTTGATTTGGGAACTGATTGATAGCCCAAGAAAAAGCCTGCTACAGTATACATTTTTCCACAGTGTACAAAGTATTCGATTATATCCAAAATACATTGAGAAATATTTAAAATTTATTTGCATATCAAACTATATACATATACATCTATGTATATATATATTTATATAGATTTTAAATAAATAGTATTGGAGGAAGGTAAATAGCATTTTAAATTACAACATAGTTTCCCTTAGATCCTAAAAGTTACACCATCTCCCAGTAGTAACAAGAGCTAAGGACTAAGCCTCCTAACATGTGGGTTTAGTGATTAACATTTGAGATTCAAAGAATAATATCCATTTAGCCATTTTCCATCCATGTCCAGCAGCATTATATATTTTCTTCCTAGCAAAATTTAAATATCAAAGACATTGTTTCACACAGTCACCATCTCTTCCTAGAACTTGGGAAATTTCCATATAAGGAAATTTTGTTCATAGTTTATCCATATATTCATAAACTGAGTAGTTTTGAACCTTCATATCTCAGCATGGCCAGCATAAACTCAGAATGTTTAATAAAAACTTTGTCTAAACAATCATGCCCTACTTTATACCACAGAAAGGAAAAAAATCACTTCGCCAGAATACACTAGTAAAAATTTTAGATTTAATGTCCTTCACAATGTCAACATGGCAAAATAAATGTGCTAAATACTTTCAAAAGATTAGCATGGATTCCAAGTATACAAAATTCTGATGCTCTGATGAACTCTTTTTCCGTTCCAGGTGACCCATACAGCAATATATATTATATATGTCTACTCTGGACTCTGAAAAGAAAAGCCAGGCACAATATAAACCAACCATAAATATAATTACTGAAAGTGGTTAACAGACAAGAACAAATAGTCTCTGTTCTCATTAAAGTGTTTTTGTGGTGATGTTCCCAGAATATGCTCATAAATGTCATTTACACGTTGACTGCCCAGGCTTCCTGACTACCCATCCCCTGGTCCCATGATTGACTTGCTCAAGTATTGTTGACTAGTCTAAAGTTTCCAGGCACTCAATTGAATGACATACGGACTGTTTCTCAGATCGATTGGCAAATCTGGATAATACATCAAAAAGACAGAAAACCACACTGATGTGTTGAGCTCAGAAATAAAAACAACCAGTCATGAGAAAAGAATGCTAGAATTCAGGGGAGGGCCTAGGCCCTGCCTGAAATGATGTAACAGACTTTGATGATCCCCCATGGAAGGCCTCACCCTCCCCGGGGAGCAGAAAGGGGATGGGATGGGGGGTTTGGGGGTATGGGATGGTGGGAGGGAGAAGGAACTGGGATTGATATGTAAAATAAGATTGTTTCTATTTTAAATTAAAAGATAAAACATAAAATAAAAAGAATGCTATAATTTCCAAAATCCATACCCAAATACCCAGAGTTTCCCAGATTCTGATGATATTCTTAATGTTTTCATGAGGATAATGCTCCTCTTGCCTTGCCCCATCATAGTATTTGCTGATGAGATGGAGTGAGGTTTCTAGCTCCATCACATCTATTTTTGGTGAGAACCATTCCCTCATCCTTAAAGTGGAATTAATAGTAGTCTCTGCCCCAAGTATTGATTTATTGCTAATCCAGTCCTTATACCATCTATTGGCAATCAGCAGGTGCTCAAAAATTGACAGAAGCCATGGATAAGGCACTTTGCTTTGCAGCAGCCTTATGGAGATGGGGAAAAGGCAGTCTTGGTTTTATAATAGAATGAAAGAGAAGACAAGATAACCCCAGTTTAAAAAAAAAAGGTGCAGGCAAAACTCTTCAAGAACTCAGAGTGAAGTACTTATATTCAATCAAAGGGAAAAGGAAATTTCCTTATGATAAGAGTATGGGATAAGATATAAGATGGGTGCAATTTGGACATCATAGACTAGCACTACATGGAACATTTTTAGAGCACATTACAAAATCCAGCTTACTTAAAATACATTTCAGAGTAATTGGAAGAGACTTCCATTTTATTTATTCTTCATTCAAATTCCACATCCTTAGGCTGTTGGTTTCTTACTGTCCTGCTTAATTTCCATTGTTGTGATAAGCATCACCAAAATTCCAACGAGGAAAAGGTTTTTTTTAAATTTTATAGTATAACCCATCTGGGAAGGGGGTACTTCAATGGGGAAAATGCCTCCATCAGTTTGGCCTGTAGGCAAGTCTCTAATCATTCTCTTGATTGATTGATGTGGAAGGACCCAGCCCACTGTGGGTAATGATACTCTCAGCAAGTGGCTATATGTTGATAAGAAAGTGTGCTGAGCAAGCCATGGGGAAAGCCAGTAAGCAGCAATCCACCATGGCCTACCCTTCAATTCCTGCCCTGATGTATTATAAGCCTGGCTGGAAAAATGGCTCAGAGGTTAAGAGCACTGGCTGCAGTTCCCAATGTCCTGAGTTCAAATCCCAGCAACCATATGGTGGTTCACAACCATCTGTAATGAGATCTGGTGCCCTCTTGTGGCCTGCAGGCATGCTTGTAGGCATAACACTGTATACATAATAAAAACATCTTTTTAAAAATGATTAAATATACCTTTCCTCCTCAAGTTGCTTTTGGTCAAGCTGTTTATCACAACAATGGAAAGTAACTAGGACAGTAAAAATCAACATTCTAAGGACTTGGATTTTTGAATGGAGAATAAATGAAATGGAAGCCTGGGAAAGAAAGTTTGGGCCCTGTTAAACAGCCAAGAAGCCAGAGTAACTAGAGTCCACAGCCCAAGAAAAAGGAAGAAGGCATGGGTGAATAAAGAAGGGGGTCTAGTTTTGATAGCAAAACCACTGTCAGAAATCAGCTTTATTATGCAAATTCATAGTCATGTTAGATTCTGCTGTGTTCAAGAGTTATTTGATCTTACTCTCTTGTTTTTTTATCTAAATTCCCAAATTCTGGGATTTTTTGTTTTGTTTTGTTTTTTGAGACAGGGTTTCTCTGTATTGTTTTGGAGGCTATTCTGGAACTGGCTCTGTAGACCAGGCTAGCCTTGAACTCAGAGATCCTCCTGCCTCTGCCTCCTTAGTGCTGTGATTAAAGGCGTGCGCCACCAACACCCAGTTCAATTCCCAAATTCTTAATAGCTCATCCAAATACCACTCAGGTTAGTGAAAGTGCCCTGGTTTCCTTCTGTTGCTGTGGTACACACCTTAAAGCAACCTGGAAATAAGTATATGTAGCTTACAGGTTACAGTCCATCATTGAGGAAAACCAAAGCTGGAATTTGATTCATAAGTGGCACACAACTTATTGAATTGCTCCCTCTATCTTTCTTAGATGGCCCACACTCACCATTTCAACATTTACCATCAATAGCTGGGCTGTTTGAAGTTTAATTCAAAGATAAATAATTACAGGCATCTTTCTTCTGATAATTTCCCTCCACCTTTTCAGTGTAAGTACAGTCATGCTCCTTACCTTCTCCTTTTGAGAAACTCACAGTTGGTTTCCATCTATTAAATCTTTTATTCCTTGATTCCAGAGGCAGTTTGCACAGCATTGCTGTAGGGATGTGTACTACCTGTGCCTGTCAGGACTTCCCTCCATTTTTCTAGACCCCAAATCCCAAGATTTACCTAATCAATCAAGTCTGCACTTTCTAGCTATCATGATCCACATGACCCTTTTGCTCTGTCCCCTTGTACTTGCACATGGTCTGTGCTACACTGCATAGTCACCTTTGTATGTGGACTCGCTTATAAGCTGGTTAGTGGTGATGGTAGGGAGAATAGGTCAACCTACAGGGTAGGATCACATGACTGCCACCTTTCCCTAAAGCCATTGCAAATGGGAATGAGGCAGCTTCAGAGACTGGAGATGTTGTTTCTTATTTAAGGGTTCCCTGTGATTCTATTTGCTAGCCAACCACCTGTGCAATCAATTCCTGATGGAAAAAGGAAAATCTTCCATCCAGGGTAATTAGGCATGATATGAAGTTACAAATGATACATCTTTCACTTTTTGTTTTCTTTTTCAACTCAGGTTCAGACTAAGTGTTGTAATATCTGTGGATGCAGGCAAATGCTCAACCACTGACCTACTGTATCCCCAACCCAAAATTTACTCTCTTATCTAAATATCATATATCCCCAGAAGGTCCATATAAAAAGTAACTGTCATATTTTATGACCTAAGATTGAGACGGGCTCACATGTTAATCTTTGCCATTAGACTGTGCCATTCTGTGAGTTTAAAGCAATGCCATAATGGAAGAAGTCAATAAAGTCTGAGTATTAGAAACTTCAGCAAAAAAAATGTTCATGATGCTTTCACATGCCTATTTCAAACACTGAGCCAGTCACTGTCTTAGTCAGCGTTATTATTGCTGTGATGAAACACCATGACAAAAGCAGTTGGGGAGGAAAGGATTTGTTTGACTTATACTTCTATGTCATAGTCCATCACTGAAGGAAGTCAGGCCTGGAATTCAAGCAGGCCTGGAACCTGGGAGCAGGAGCTGATGCAGAAGCCACGGAGGAGTGCTGCTTACTGGTTTACTCCTCATGGCTTGCTCAGTCTGCTGTCTTACAGAACCCAGCACACCAGCCGAGGAATAGCAACACCCACAATGGGCAATGCCTTCCCACATCAATCACTAAGAAAATGCCCTACAAACTTGCCTATAGTCTGATTTTATGGAGGCATTTTCTCATTTGAGGCTCCCCCTACTCAGTGACTCTAGGTTGTGTCAAGTTGACATAAAAATAGCTAGTACAAATGACCTCTTGTCAACTTGACACACAAACACATCACTATTAAGCCACAATATTTCGTTTGTTATGTTCCCCATGATCTCGAATTAAAAACATAACTTCAGATTCAAACACATTACAAGTTTAGTCCCTTTAAATTACCCAGTATCTCTAAAAATCTACAATCTCTGAAAAGTTCAAAATCTCTCACCCATGGGCTCCTGTAAAAATCACAATTAAGTTGAACATTTTCTTACTTCAAGAGGAAAGAACCATGTGCAAAGTCTCAGTCTGAACAAAGAAAACCAAACTCCAGACGTGTGAGAAATTCAATATCCCATTATCTGGGATTCACTTACCTTCTTTTGTGCTCCTCCAAAGGTTTTCAGTTACTTCTCTGGCCCCACCTCTGCAGCACACACAGTGTATCTCCAAGGCTCTGACTGGTTCCACTCCACTGCTGCTGCTGCTCTTAGAAGTCATTCGAGGGCACTGGCATCTCCAAACTTCTGAGATCTTCTGATGCAAATGGGCTTCACTTTCACCAACATCCTCTCCTGGGCTCTCTTCACAGACTTCGATGGTGCTACACAGTGCCAAGCCTCAGCTGCTCTCCGTGATCACTTCATACCTTCAAAACCAGAACCACCTGGGTGACTTTTACATAACCAAATTTGACTGCCAGCACAAGATTCAACTTGGGCGGGCCATGTATAGAAGACAGCTTCTCCATGCTGACTCTTGGGAGACACTTTCCAGAAGATTTCACCCAAGCTTTGCTGATCTCTTCTTAAACACTGATTTCACAGTTCTAGCTGACCAGCATCAATTGTTCCAGGAAAGCACAGGCGTCACTTTAGTAATTCTGATATCTTGTTAATATCTTCAGCCCCAGCTAACCAGAACCAGAGACTCTTTTTTCCCCCTTTTTAAAAATTTAAATTAGAATCAAACTTGGTTTACATGTCAATCCCAGTTCCCTCTCCCTCCCCTCTTCCCCTGCCCCCTAGGAACCCCTCCCATCCCAGCCTCTTTCTGCTCCCCAGGGAGGGTGAGGCCTTCCATGGGGGGATCTTCTAAGTCTGTCATATCATTTGGAGCAGGGTCTAAACCCTCCCCTGTGTGTCTAGACTGAAAGAGTATCCCTCTATGTGGAATGGGCTCCCAAAGTCCATTCATGTACTACGGATAAATACTGATCCACTACCAGAGGCCCCATAGATTAATCAGACCTCCAACTGACATCCTCATTCAGGGGGTCTAGATCAGTCCCATGATGGTTTCTCATTTATCAGTTTGGGGTTCATGAGCTCCCCCCTGTTCAGTTCAGCTGCTTCTGAGAACCACAGACTCTTAATTCAAAATAACAAAATGACCGCAACAGAGTCTTTATACTTCCCTCTGAAGCTTCACAAGTCAGGCCTTAATCTTCCACACTGCTCTCAACATTCTTACCTTCCAAGCTCCTAAAGAACATGCCACTGAGCTCCCAACACTCAATGACTTTTCTACTCCAAGGATTGAAAGCCCTTCCACAATCCATCCAAAACACATGGTCAGGTCTGTCAAAGCAATACTCCACTATCCTGATACCAACTTGTCTTAGTTTAGTGTTGCTATGATGAAACACCATGACCAAAAGCAAGTTGAGGACAAAAGGATTTGCTTGCCTTACACTTCCATATTGTAGTCCATCACTGAAGGGAATTAGGACAAGAGCTCAAGCACAGCTGGAACCTAGGGCAGGTGCTGATGCAGAGACCATGGAGGAGTACTGCTTACAAGACTTGCTTAAACAGCTTTCTTATATAACTCAGGATCACCAACCAGCCAAGGGATGGCGCCACCCACATCAATCACTAATTAAGAAAATGCCATCCATGCTTACCTACAGCCTGATCTTATGAAGGCATATTTTCAATTGAGGTTCTCTCTTCTCCAGTGACTCTAACTTGTGTCAAGTTGACATAAAACTAGCTAGCATGGTCACCTACTAGACTACTAGAAATATTCATAACCTAGTAAATCATAAATCCAATGAATATAGAAATTCCTTATGTATCTAGAACATCCATGTAAAACTTTTTGTAAATGACTATCAGCTAATACATTTCCATAACTTATTAACAATTATGACTATGACAGGCACTATTCTAATGCTCCTGTGAATCTTATCTCACCTAACACTCAATACACTGCAAATAGCTATAGTATTTATCTTAATCCCTCAAGAAAAAAGCAAAGTTTTGAATATAAAGAGATATGCCTAAATGTATTAGTGCATAAATGTGAATAGATATAAAAATAATGTCAAAACCACATTAAGTTGCATAAAAGGAAGCTTCAATAAATTGAGAAATATTCCTTGTCTCTCTGGAGAGGGAGATTTAAACCATCAGATATCACTTTTCCCAATATGTTAAATTCTGAGGTTTATTAAAAATATAAATAAAGGTACATAAACCCTGAAGAATTATCATAGGAAGATGAAGTTGTCTAAGGGGAAGCATCGATACTGAGTATTCAGTTGTGTGAAATACACCACCAAAAGCTGTTCAAGCACGGGTAGTGACTTGAAGCAACATTTATCACATACGGGTGTGTGGAAAAAGCACAATGCAGCATTTCTATGAGATGATGTTTCCTACAGTATCAGCGTGTGAATCACACTGTGCCCTTTTCTCTCTGTGGCCTGCACAGTCCGTCTGGAGACCATGTCTCTTCCCCATCAAAGACGGCATTGTTTACATTTTTGATACTTAGAGTAAATAATTTTCATACACAGGATGGTCTGCTCTGAAGTATGAGTATGACTTTTCTGACTCCAACTATTTTCCATAAGTGTCATTGGATTTCTTGTATGTGTGGGTATCTATTCTTAATAATCTGAACTTTGTACGCATACACATATATATGGTTCAGACATATGCTGGATGCTACAGATTTTATAACTTCTGGATACAGGTTTCCTTAGTTCACACTTACAGATGGAAATCCACCATCAAGTACTTACATCTATGAGGGCTTTGTTGTCAATCACAATACAAAGGAGGCTCTCGAATGGTAAGACAAAGCAACCGTGCTATCTGCCATCTCACGTCTCTCTGCCTTCTGTCTTAAATCCCACTATGGGGACCATCTGTACCTATTTTTGTTCCCGAAAGTTCCTACCTCAAAATACCATATATATGGAATTTAGGCATTAAGGTTCCCACACGGAATCCTGAGGGACACTGAAACTGTGACACTGTATGTGCATGATGCTCACTAAAGCCTCAGCTACCCCAGGCTTGTTTGGCAGCAAGACTTGTCCTGGGCCTTTATGGACATCATCAAAACAGACTCCATGGTTGCACAGTTAGGCTACATTTCCCAGATGTAAGGTAAAAGGATCCAGCCAAAAATACACACCCTAAGCAGACCCAAGAAACATACTTTGCTCCTGGAATCAGAGTCAGTGAAAGAAATACATCTTAGCCCTAAAACTAGAGCCAAAAGGCTAAAAAGGACCAGAGAAAGAAGCACACTTAGGCCTTAAAACCAGAGCCAAATCTGACCCTAACTCTATGCAGAAAACTAGCCAATCCATGAGGAGGAGATTAAAATCTGACCAATCCCCATCCTGGAAGCCCTGTAGAAACCCTGTGTCTGTTCAGCTTGTTCTTGCTACCTTCCTGGATTCTTCCCTCCCAATTAACCCCTTGGATGAGCTTTGGTTGAAGATCTCTTTTGGCTGAGCAGAGAGGACCCTGGGCAGAGCCGGGAGCAGAGCTGAACTGTAGCAACTTTGCCCTGGAAACCTTCTCCCTGTAGCAACTTTGCCCTGGAAACCTTCTCCCGTTGGAGCAAAACTGCTACACTGGGCAAGTATCCCCAGCTGGAAGACCATGTCCTACCTGAGCAGAGTGATACATTGGAGAAGCCTTTCCCTGAGGCAAGGCTGTAAGCTACTATGCTTGCTTACTGCAGCCTGTGGTAGTCCTTGGCTTCCGAGCTCCAGGATACCTTTCTAACTGAGCTGTGTAACACTCAGTATTCTGTGACTCCCAAGTGCCAGAATACCTGTCCCATCTGATCCTCACGAAATGCCCTGGTAATGTAGTTTTGCATAGTGCCGTCTTAGCAAATTGGTATCTGTTAGAAAGCCTGAGCCCATCAGAGATCTTTCCATTCACTTGTCACAGAAACTTACTAAGTTGGAAGTTCTTTCCTCAAGGGAGTAGGGGAGGAAGACCCTGAATCGCTGTTTGTATAAGTCAGCTTTCCATCGTCATAATAAAACCAGAAAAAATAAAGGGAAAAGATTTGTTTTTGCCTCATAACCTCAAAGCTTTCTAGCACAGCTTCATGGCTCCAAGCCTATAGTGAGACAGTATGAAGTATATGATTAAGGAGTTGTTTGTTCACAGCCAGTAATCGTGAGAGAGAGAGAGAGAGAAGGGGCCCAGGTCCTGTTGTGAAATATTCGTTTAGCCAAGCAAAGACATTTGTTCATGCTACATTCATTAACTATGTAAAGCTGTGTTGCATCAGACTTAATTAAATAAAATTAACCTGGGCTCAGGTTGACAGGAAGTAGCAGAGAGGAGCTTAGTGTGTTTGTTTGTTTGTTTTTATGGTTGGGGCAGTGTGGAAGGGAGTGGCTTCTGGGTCACCAACAAAGAGAGGAAGTTAACCAGTTGCTACTGGAACCCTTAGCTCACAGGTTTTCACTCTAGCCTTTGAATTTCGAGTTTTGGTAGAACGATAGAGATTTAGTTAGAATTACCTTTTTGTGGCAGCAATGGAGCCATTGTCTGAGTGAACAGACACCCCCCACCCCCCATGAGGCTATGGCCTGAACAGCTGGGCTGCTAGTAGTTTAAAGAGCAGCCATTGTAAATGAGGTAAAACAGCAAAGTCGCAGTGTCTCCTTCAAGGGAAAGTCTGCAGTGACCTATCACTTCAGATCCTGCCCCAACAGGTTTCCCTAGCTCCCTATAAAGGCACAGGCTAGGAACCAGGTCTCCAACAAAAAGTCTGTAGCAGGGCACTCCAAGACTTGCTCACTGACCAGGAACCCTGACCTAGACTTATGGTAAATAAGAAAAACAAACACAAAAACGTTTTCAAACCACTGAACATGAAGCACTATCCAGCCACACTGTCAGTGTAGTTTAGACACAGACACCATGTTTTCAATGACAGAAAGAGAAATTATACCTTTTCATAACAAAGCAACAATTTGTTACAGATATAAACAGAAACATTCCCTAGGAGGATGGTCATATATGGGTCATGGAAAGTGTCCTACACATACTGCTAGAGATTAATTTCCTTTCCTCAGATGTCATTGGGATCACAAAGGTCAGTTTATCCTTTTGTGTGTGAAAGAAAGAAAAATTCCCAGCTCACTTTAATGAGGATCTGTGACAAATATAGCACCTGCCACCTGCTCTCAGGTGATACCCACTTTCTGGATGCACTACTACCTGGCTGATGAACGCCCATCATCCTGAATTCTCTGCTTGGACGTATCAGACATCTGATGACTCGCCCATGTTTATAGGATAGCCCAAAATTCTGTCTGACTTAAGCATTCCCACAGATTATTCTTTTATGAGATGTTTTGTGTGTTGGGAGCTATACTAT